GGTATGTGGCAACACTTGTAGCGACACATAACCACAAGAATGGCAAGACCTGAGCAAGTATCATGTGTCCAGAGGCTGTGGTTGGTGTTCCCTGGGCAGGTGACGGAGGCGTAACGTGGCATCATCTTCACCACCACCGCCACCCTCTCGCTCTAATACCCCTCCCCCCTCCCTCCCTCTCTCTCACCCCTTTTCAAATAACCTCTTACTTCTACTCTCTCCTTCCCTTACCCCCCCCATCCCTACTCTTGCAAATAACCTCCTCTGGCACCATCCCCCTACCCCATCCTCCTCCCAGGGCCCGACCTCCATTCGTCCGTGAAAGGTCAAGTTCAGTGTGGTCAGATTTTTTTTTTTTGCTCTCTCTCTATACAGGAAGGGATGGAGGGGACTTGTTTCAGAAGCCGGATGAGTGGGCGAGTGTAATGAGAGGAGATTACCACACGACAGAGTACAACCCTGACACGAGTCCATCTCCACGAGGGTAAAATGTCACTCTTCAAGTACACTCTCAACCTAACCTAACCCAAGGAAGTGAATCACGGGGATTGGACCTGAACACCTCTTTATCAACACGTCTGGTCTAGTGACGTTATCTAGGCCAGGTAACTACAGGTCGTCGTCATCCTCCTCGGCGACGTGTTACCGGGGACATGGAGAGGTGAAGAGATGTATCACGGTTACCCATCACCGTCAGTCTTCCCACCATTAAGGTACAGATTGTTAAAGCTTCGTGCGCTATAAGACCCGCTCATGTGAGAACCCATATAAATAAATTCCCACAAAAACGCTGACACCATGTTTATAATGACGTCTAAATTGTACCGAGTTGTATTACTTCAGGAGAAAACTGATCTTATGTAGCGGCGTTGAGAATCTGGGCTGAGATGACCTAGACAAGGAGAAACTGCCCCGCTGGATCTAGCAAGTCACGGGCCCGGGGTAAACAGAGGTGGTGGTGGGAAGGCACGGTCACCGCCACACACCCTCAACACTCATCCCTCACACCCTCAACACACACACCCTCAACACACACACCCCTCACACACTAAACACACCATTCACCCTCAACACTCACCCCTCACACCCTAAACACTCTCTTCCTCACCACTCACCCTTCACACCCTCAACACACACACCCCTCACACCCTCAACACACATCCCTCACACCCTCATCACACACACACACTCCTCACCCTCACCACACACCCCTCACCCTCACTACACACCCCTCACCCTCACCACACACCCCTCACCCTCACCACACACATCACCACAGTATCCCTGAAACATACCAACAATATCTGCTAAGAGTACTAGAAACTTTAGACCCAAAAACCTCTTTATAAAATGTCTGTATATCCAATGTCATTTGACTGGAATCAGACAAAAGTGACAACATTAAAGTCTGAGCGAAGTGAAACTATCATCCACCTTGTGTACAAACATGGCAGCCCACAACCCAGACCGTCTCTATTTGTGCCTCCCAGTCTTGAGTCAACAATGACGCTGTCATCTTTCTTTCGTCCTAAAACAAATCCAGGCGGTGTTTCTTAAGTCAACATTTGCGGCGTGGACATTCTTTCCGACTAGAACTCCGTGTAAAACAAAGCCGTGTCACAACACACTCGAGTGAACAAGAATTTTGTAATAATCGACGCTGTAACTGAGGGTGTCATCCAGCGGCCTCTGGACACCAGCCTCTACCAGTCACCGCCGCTCAGGAAGGTACACGCCAGCGTGTGAACGGGGACTATCGAGACGCTCCGGGTGTGGTCGTAGCCTACTTGGACAGGTCGTGCTGCTCCCACTGTTGTGTACCTCCTGTTAATTTAACTTCTCACTCAGTCCGCTTGAGTTACGTGGTGTGACTCACGTGAGGAAGGTGCAGGAGGCTGAGGGGTGACTTGTACAACAACACACAGTAGCTGGGGGCAAACCAGGTCGTCACGCCCGGGGACGACGGTGCTGGGACACGCATGGTAGTGAGGTGAGAACGGCATACAGGTACAGTACATAGGCAGTGGTGTGGTGCGCAGGTATTAGAATATATATATATATATATATATACGATAAATTCTTAGCTTTCGTCTTTATTCAAGACATCTTGAATAAAGACGAAAAGTGTTTCATTGTGTGATCTACATGAAATATATATATATATATATATATATATATATATATATATATATATATATATATATATATATATATATATATATATATATATATATATATATATATATATATATAGAGAGAGAGAGAGAGAGAGAGAGAGAGAGAGAGAGAGCAATAATCCTCAACCGAGATTCAAACTTACGACACCACCACCACCAGTCCCACCCAGCCACACGTCACGCCCACAAAACTGGCACTTCCCGCCACTCCGCTGTTCTCACGCTGACCATCATTAACAACTATCTTGCAAATGTCTACCTGTTCATCAACCTTAATCAACTCCTGGTGAGACGTGTTGGCCAAACAATTTCAAGCACATCACCTCAGCGGAGTAACACGACAACTTCCCACCCCTCACTATAAATTCTTGACTCTGTACTTAGATTTTAAAGTGCCTTCGTGGACTTGACAATGGAATATTTTTTTCTCAGAATTTTCACTCAAACTTTTGTACTTAATACTTACCATCCTACTATTGACGTAACAAGCAAAGGAATGCTATGGGTTTATTTAGTAAACAGCAAGTAGGCGGTGACTCGGCTTTTTCATGAAGTTACAAAAACATCAATGATATTAGCAGGAAGGAACCTCTGAGTACTCCCATAGTTCAGTAGATTTGTTGTCAATTCATAAAATATGCAAAAGGTGGTTGAGCCCACGGCATACTTCTTATTTCCTAAGAAAACTCAAAATCGTCTTCGCCTTGATCCGCCGCCACCTAAGTTTGGGGGAAAACGTGAAAGAAAACACGCACCATCGTTAAGAGAGGAGTCATTGTATATATTACTGTACCAACTTTAACGCGACTTTCACGCTGTTTGCTCACGTGGAAATATCTAGTTAATATTGTAAGTGAATGGTAAGACTTTACATTAATACACCAATCATTTAGTAATATGCGTCATCATCCAGAGAAACTCCCTAAGTAAAAGTAAGGTCGGACACTGACAAAAAACCCCACAGCTAACGCCACTTACCACAGCAGCTTCAGCACGCTGGAGTCTTATGATTTCTACTCTTAAGTTCTCCCAACTGTCGTATTTTTGGAGCTGACGGTACAAGCCCTTACCCTTGCAGCTCCTTGAATCATAAATAATATTCGATTACTATTGATATATCGCAAATAGATACATATGAAACTGTTAAACACACCCAGTTCTGATTCACTTCAACGCTGAATTTAATGTCTGTAAAGATATAATTGCTTGAAAACATGGCATTGGAGGAGATATTCTAAATTGGATTAGGGCGTGGTTACAGGACTGGACACAACGAGTAAGCATTTGCGGCACTAAATCCGATTGGAGTAACGTCACTAGTGGAGTACCCCAGGGCTCAGTACTTGGACCATTATTGTTTATTATATACGTAAACAACATAGATATCGGCGTAGACAGCAACATAAGTAAATTTGCTGATAACACTAAAATAGGGCGAGTAATTAAAACTGACGAGGACTCCGCAAAACTAGAGGAAGACCTAAAAAAAAATTTCGAATGGTCTGAAAATGGCAAATGAAATTCAATGTGGACAAATGTAAAGTACTTAGCCTAGGAGATGTAAACAGAGAAACCTGATGAGCAACGATGTTATAGAGAAATCTGACTGTGAGAAAGATCAAGGAGTAACGATACGTAGGAATCTTAAGCCAAGTAAACAATGTGTATTTGTTCGAAACAAGGCTAACACAGTAATTGGGTTAATACAAAGGAGTGTATAGTTACAAGACTAGCGAGGTCATCCTAAAACTATATCTTGCGCTTGTGAGACCTCACTTGGATTACGCAGTTCAGTTCAGTTCTGGTCACCGTACTGCAGAATGGATATAGAATCCATAGAAAGAATTCAGAGGAGAATGACAAGACTAATCCCGGGCATATGGAGCCTTGAGTACAGAGACAGGTTAAAGCATCTTAATTTACACTCCCTCGAGAGACGTAGAGTGAGGGGCGATATGATAGAGGTGTATAAATGGAAGTCAGGGCTAAACAACGGGGACACTACGAAGGTACTCAAACTATCCAACACTAGTTTTAAAATGGACAAATTTAGATTTAGGCGCGAAAGAGATAAACGTTGGTTTGGAAACAGAGTAGTGGACGAGTGGAATAAGTTACCAAACATCGTCATTAACTCGAATACGCTGGATAGCTTCAAACATAGGTTGGATGGATTATGAGTAATAGGGGTTGGGTGTAAATGGGACTGCCCTGTATGGGCCAATAGGCCCGCTGCAGTTTCCTCCATTCTTATGTTCTTATGTGTGAAAAAAAAGTTTAACAAAGAAAATTTATCGTCGAAGTCACAAACACATTCATGATTTCGGAGAACACATTCAGCAATACTTCTATTTTCGCTAATTATTACGTATATCAAGACAAATGACAAACAATACAACAACGGAAACAGTCATATCTTTAGTATTATCATCGTTTAGGTCATCCAGCGAATTTTAGGGGGTTTGGTGGGGCGAAGCTCCGGTTAGATTAGGTTCCATTAAGTTATGTTAGATTAGTTTGGATATTTAAACACAGGGATGACAGAAACTATAATTTTACCAAATATTTAGATATTAAAATAAGCAATAACGTGAACCATAATTGGGTATCATTAACAGTTTTATGTGGATTTATTTGTGATATAGAATAATAATTAATCGGTTATATAATGAGCAGCAAGGTGGGCGGGTCTTGTACCGTCAGCTAAAACTCCCTGACTACAGTCATTATACTGCAGCTGACTACAACACGCCTGTTATATGATCACACTGGAGATGTCAAGCCTTCACCTTAACAACAAGTGTCCCGTGATGGGTGGAAGAGATGATGGTATAAGTACTAAGACTCAGGGTGTAGGAACAACACTATAAGGTACTCACCATTGGTGGCCATCACTGCCAAGACCTCGCCGCCACGAGCCTCCAGGGAGATGCCGTCCAAGAGATGGGTCCGCCCACCACGCCCATGCGTCTCGTACACCAGCCCACGGACCTGAAGGTGGGGGCCCTTGATGCCCATGCCGCCCTCCTCTGGCCAGGGGTTGTCGCGGGGGAAGAGCTTATCGTTGAGCATGGGCGGCTCCCGGTAAGCTGTCCCGTCCGGGGGCTGTTTGGGACCAGGGGAGTAGTGCTGGTGAATGTTGTGGGCGTGCAAGCGGTGGGTGGTGGTGGGGTAGTTGTTGGTGGTGGTGGGGTAGTTGTTGGTGGTGGTGGGGTAGTTGTTGGTGGTGGTGGGGTAGTTGTTGGTGGTGGTGGGGTAGTTGTTGGTGGTGGTGGGGTAGTTGTTAGTGGTGGTGGGGTAGTTGTTAGTGGTGGGGTTGCTGTTGGTGGGGTAGTTGTTGTTGTTGGTGGGGTTGTAGGTGTAGGAGGACAGGTGTGAGTTGGGTGCCAGTGTGGAGGTGTTAATGCGGTTAGTGGTGGAGTGGTGAGGGGTGGTGAAGGGGTAGTGTGAGGGCGAGGGGTACTTGGTACTCGGGTAGGGGGGGTACTGTGAGGTGTGGTTGGGAGAGGCGTAGGAGAAGCGAGAGTACCCGGAGGTCTTGTGTGAGGGAGGTGAGAGTACGGGGGAGGGTTTGTGTGTGGAGGGCAGGGGGCGGTAGGGCAGTGGGAAGGAGTTGGAGGTGGTGGGGGAGGGGAGGGCGGGAGGGAAGGAACGAGCAGGGAAACTCTTTAGCCGAATGTACTCCATTATGTTGATACAAGAGACTGAGATGAGAGGCAACCTGAAGATAACTGTGCTATCTCGTCAGTATCGTCAGCAGTCACGTGTGTTGTGGTAGACAGTGTGGTGCTGTGGTGCTGCACGTCATCACGAGGGTAAGAAACACCAGTTAAAGTTATTGTTTACAGTCCGCATCACACTGTGTCCTCGTTGTTAACAGTACACCACAATTCTTGTAAATCACTACACTTTCTCACTTAAAACTCCCAACTCCCAACACAGGATTAAGTCACTTCAAGACACCATCAACAACACAGTACCGGGAACAACTCGCTCTCCTCCACGTAACTCAGTGTGGCTTCTTTAACTGACATCAAAACACAATGTTTCTCATAAGAGGTCAGGAGATGTGGTCATCACACGGCACAGAAGGCAGGGAGACACAGGGTAGTGCCTCCGTGGTGATGACTGGAGGGACGTCGGGACACACACTCACACCCAACGACGGTCCGCTAGACACTGCCAGTGACAAACTAACTCGAACGCTCCGCGGCCCCCGGCCCGGTCCCGGCTCATCCTCAGTTCCCACCGCCCCATAACCAATCCATTTTAGTTTCACGACACACGCTCACACCTCCCTCACACTCCCACACGACCTATCACATGTACACACCGAGGTATGCTTGTCAAGCATTACATGTGTCTTTCACAGTGACTCGGGAAGATTAACTCTCCTAATACTTGTGACATGGCAAGAGTTTCCAGAGCTTTACCTGAGCTAATGATTGTTTCTCCCATTAAAGATGGCAATAAAGGCGGCTTTTTATTCCTCATAAGCACTAATAACTGTTTATGAGGCAGTTAAACTATGTTAATGACCAGCCACACTGTCTATCAGGGATACATTAGGCAGTACTGAATATATCGTGTATATTGGAGTGTAGAGACAACAACTAAGGTCACACACACACAGGTGATCCCCGAGATGGCGTCATACTTATACCTAGACTATCATAACAAAAAATACTGGAGATACGTGAGAACTCATCTAACTGGTTCACTCACAAGATGGCGTCAGAGGTGCACGTAGACTACCAAAACAGACTCGCTGGGAGAACACAAACTCTCGACACACAGTAACAATTATGTCTTCGTGTTATGTCTTAAAATTGACTTCATCAAAGGAAAAGGCCGTTCGTGTCCGTCTGTCTTTATGTCACTGTGAAGACTTTTGTTATTAACACACTTCACCTAAGATCGTTGAACAAGTATTAATTATTTAATGTTGCTACGGCTTATGTTCCTGTCAACACTTGTGATTTTAGGCTCAAATGATGGTGTTATTATTATTATCATTAGACAGAGCAGCCCACCAGCCATCAACCAGGTAGTAGTGTCAATGATAAATAACCCTTAAAGCCTCTAAATGATTTAATCTCGTGGTCTATAACGAATGGGACAATTAAACCGAGTAGTTGTGGTTAATATGTGTGTGTGTGTATTGTTAACATCTGTAGTGAAGATTGACACTAAATTTATTATTTACTGTTCGGAGGTGAGGGGGGCGATAAAGGCCTCACGCAGTAAATCTACAACGGTGCCATACGTTGAGAGACGGTATGGTTCTTCTGGGCCCGTCACTCACTCTTCCCTCATCCTCTCGTCCCCACTGTCACCCCCTTTCACCCCCTCCTCCCCCTACTCTCAACCCCCTACTCTCACCCCCTACTCTCACACCGTCCTCCCCCACTCACCCCATCTCACCCCCACCTCCCCTACTCCCCACTCTCACCCCTACTCTCACCCCCCACTCTCACCCCCCCTCTCACCCCCTACTCTCACCCTCTACTCTCCACCGTCCTCCCCACTCTCACCCCTACTCTCACCCCTACTCTCACCCCCACCTCACCCCCCACTCTCACCCCCCCTCTCTCACCCTACTCTCACACCGTCCTCCCCCACTCTCACCCCTTCTCTCACCCCCTACTCTCACCCCCTACTCTCCCACCCCCACCCCTCACCCCCACTCCTCACCCCACTCTCCCCACCCCCTTCTCTCACCCACTCTCACCCTCTCACCCCCACCCCTCACCCCACTCTACCCCCACTCTCACCCTCTCTCTCACACCGTCCTCCCCCACTCTCACCCCTCTCTCACCCCCTACTCACCCCCTACTCTCACCCCCACCCTCACCCCCACTCTCACCCCCCACTCTCCACCTCCCTCTCTCCCCCCCCCTACTCTCACCCCCACCCTCCCCCCACTCTCACCCCACTCACTCTCTCTCGTCCTCCCCCACTCTCACCCCTTCTCTCTCCCCCTCTCCCCTCACCCCCCACCCTCACCCCCACTCTCACCCCACTACCCCTACTCTCACCCCCCTACTCTCACCCCCACTCTCACCCCCCTCACCCCCATCTCACCCCTCCACCCTCACCCCTACCCTCACCCCTCCTCTCACCCATACCTCACCCCCACTCTCACCCCCACTCTCACCCCTCTCACCTCCCTCCTCACCCTCCACCCTCACCCCTACCCTCACCCCCACCCTCACCCCCCTCTCACCCCATCTCTCACCCCACTCTCCTCTCACCCCTCTCACCCCTCTCTCACCCCCCTACTCTCACCCCATACTCTCACCCCCCTCTCACCCCCTACTCTCCACCCCCCTCTCACCCCCCTACTTTCACCCCCACTTTCACCCCCTCCCTCACCCCTACTCTCACCCCCATACTCTCATCCCCTCTCACCCCCATACCCTCACCCCCACCCTCACCCCTACTCTCACCCCTCTCACCCCCTCTCTCACACCCTACTCTCACCCCCTACTCTCACCCCATACTCTCCACCCCTCTCACCCTATTCTCCCCCTACTCTCACCCCCACTCTCACCTCCACTGTCACCCCCACCCTCAGCCCCACCCTCACCCCCTACTCTCACCCCCTATCTCTCACCCCTACTCTCACCCCCTCTCACCCCCCTCTCTCTCACCCCAGGGAGGACTATCAACCCGCTAACAGGTACTGTACTTATAACGCTAATTACATACATACATACATACATACATACATACATACATACATACATACACAGTACCGTTCGCGCCAAAGCCACCTTATAATTTTGCTAGAGAGACATTGACGTTTTATTCAAGTAGTTTCTATATTTTATGGTAGAGTAAAGTTGGAGTGTTTTATATTCCCTTGAACACACACACACACACAACACACACACACACACACACACACACACACACACACACACACACACACACACACACACACACACACAAGTTATCGAAAGTTTAGTTAAGGTTGTCTTGGATCACCTGAAGAATCTCTAACCTAGCATATTTCACCTAAAGACGTCACGGAAGGAGGGGGTCATCAGTGGGGGTGCCATAAGAGGGAGGGGGCCAACAGTGATGACGCCATAAGAGGGAGAGAGGCCACTGCGGTGAGGCCATAAGAGGGAGGAGTCATCAGTGGGGTGTCATAAGAGGGAGGGGTCATCAGTGATGACGTCATAAGAGGAGGAGTCATCAGTGGTGAGGTCATAAGAGGAGGGGTCATCAGTGATGACGCTGCAAGAGGGAGAGGTCATCAGTGGTGAGGCCTGGGCAAGAGGAGGAGTCACTGTGGGGGGTGTCATAAGAGGAGGGTCATCGCGATGACGTCATAAGAGGAGGGGTCATCAGTGGTGACGTCATAAGAGGGAGGAGTCATCAGTGGTGACGTCCTAAGAGGGAGGGGTCATCAGTGGTGACGTCATAAGAGGGAGGGGTCCAAAAGATTTGTAATGTTAGTGATGATATGAAGTCTGTCGTAAGGTGTACATGTAGGTCAATTATTACGTAGAAATACACCATATGTATTTCTTAAATGTATATAAAGGTGAGTGGTTGATAATATAGCTGCTACTGATGAAATTAGTGACAGTAGGTTTTTATGTAATGTGTCTGATGGGAATTAGTGTTTTATAATATGGCTGTGACTTAATAACTATGGTCTACAATATATCTATAATCAATATGGCTAAAGGAAACCGTTTTATAATATGACTTAATCAATAACAAAAAATAATACTATAGCTAAATAAAGTATTAGAATATAGATGTTCCTTAATGACAATAAGACCAAATGATAATAAACACGTAACACAATATATCTCTTAGACTGACCTGGTTAAATATAGCGCCGTGTTGCCTGGAGCGGCGGGACTGACGGGACACGAGGGACATCTGTGAGCCAGCGAGTTTATTGAAGCCTCGACCACCACCAGCGGCGGCAGCGGCGGCAGCAGCAGCACGACGCTCACGGTAGTACACATCTGACCCCAGCAAGTTGGCCTCACTGGAGCTCTGTGGTGAGGACGGTAGAGAAAAATAGTTGTGACAGTGATTCACTTTCTTTTTTATCTTTCTTTTGTCTTTATTTATTCCATTACTTATATATCGTCTTGACTCCTCTTCCACTTTTGTGTACGAGTATCTCCAGGAATAGGGTTAAATTGAGAGCAAAATAGGGACTGGAAAGACAATAAGTAGAAGTCCTTTTGTACTGTTGAAATAGTGTGTTGAAGGAGAGAGAGAGAGAGAGAGAGAGAGAGAGAGAGGTCAGAATCATTACAGTCAACGCCATCAGCACTTAGTCATCAAGCTCTCGCCTCCCCACATCCTGATTGGCTGCTGTGAGAGGCAGAGGGTGACTGACTACCTCCCTGTTAGTAGCCGTCACCAAACAATGACACACTCAGCTACTGTCAGTTTTGGTCCTGTGTAAATCATTGTCGGTGGTGGTATGTGGTAGTGGTAGTGATAGTGATGGTAATGGTGATAGTGGTAATGGTGGTAGTGATGGAAATGATGGTGGCGTAAACAGTGGTGGTGAATTTTGTGGTGACGATAGTGATGATGATCTTTGTAATGAGGGTGATGGTGAAGATAGTGATAACAGTACAGATGACAGTGGACTCCCAAAACAGCTACTCTACAGCCATTTAAAGATAAGCTAACGTAGTGCTGACTAACAACGGAAAAAGACCAAGAAGTGCTAAATCGACACCCGGAAACCATCACCCTACACCATGACACCTGGAAAAATGGCACACTAGATGCAGCCCTCCACACATAAAAAAAAAACCTCTGTCGCCGCCCCTCCCGCACTAGATGTAGCCCACCACACATACAACCTTCGTGAACGACCCTGACGAACCCGTATTGACATCTCGAGTCACTTTAGAGTTAACAATGGAAAACGACACCAATAAAAAGTTTCCCAACATTTCGTTATAATCACCTCCAAGTGACAGCAGAGACAGAGACAGAGAGAGAGAGAGAGAGTAGTGATGATGACGGTAAAGATGAAGAAGATAAATTAGGTCCAGTGTTTATCATAATTCTTATAAGAGGGAACGTCAGTGAGAGGTCGTGAGTGAAGGCTGTGTTAATCATGATATAGGGAGACATTGTGTACTGAAGGTGAGAGAGTAAAGCGGCTGATAGTGGGATATTATTGTTTGTAGGAGATGGAGAGGCAAAAGGTTAGCATTTACCAGCTGTGTGTGATGACTGTTAGGTGGTATGCTGGGGCTGGGTGCAGGGGGGCTGGGTGTAGGAGAGTTGGGGGCTGAGTATTGGGGTCTGGATAAAGTGATTGAGTGAAGGGGGCTAAGTGCAGACATTATGAGAACAATAATGGCTTAAGATAGATTGTAATTAAGACAGACAGACAGACAGATCAAAACACTATACATTGAGGTACTAATAACAATTAGATACATTAAATAAAGGAACCAACATGACCATATATAGAAGATTTAACAGAAAATTCGTAACACCATAATTCATCAAAGGACGAATGCACCACGAGTCATCAGTATACTCAAGGTGTTAACTCATTATACTCGGGGGGTTAAGTCATCGTACTCAAGGGATTAAGTCATTGTACTCAGGGGGTTAAGTCATCGTACTCAAGGGATTAAATCATCGTACTCAGGGGGTTAACTCATTGTACTCAGGAGGTTAAGTCATCGTATTCAATGGTTCCAGTTGTTCGGTACTGAGTCGAGTCATGCGTGTGGTTCAGTAGAATGGGGGAGAGAGGATGAGGTGGTCCCTGTGAGAGAGAGAGAGAGCCATCTAATGCGAGAAATAACAGACTTACAGATAGCGAGGATGATTGAGAGTAACGGATAATGCAATAATGTTAATAAGGCAAACTATTTCAACAACTGAGACAGACAGACAGACAGGCAGACAAACAGAAACCAGCTTTTTTTTTTAGTGTCTTCGATTATGCTCCCTCACAGTATCTTACTCGACAAAATACTACTGGACAAAATACTATTGGACAAAATACTATTGGACAAAATACTATTGGACAAAATACTATTAGACAAAATACTATTGGACAAAATACTATTGGACAAAATACTATTGGACAAAATACTATTGGACAAAATACTATTGGACAAAATACTATTGGACAAAATACTATTGGACAAAATGCTATTGGACAAAATACTATTGGACAAAATACTATTGGACAAAATCTTACTGGACGAAAAACTACTGGACAAAATACTACTGGACGAAAAACTACTGGACAAAATGCTATTGGACAAAATGCTATTGGACAAAATCTTACTGGACGAAAAACTACTGGATTAGAATGGTAGTTTGTGTATTGGGTCTGACTATGTATATATGTGTCTTTCTGTGTCCTTTTACCTGTCCGTCTGTCTCTATGCCTTTGCTGTCTGTCTCTGCGTCTGCCTGTCTGTCTGTTTGTGTTTCTGTGTTTCTGTCTGTGCCTTTATCTTACTTGGTTTATATCTCTTTGTCTATCTCACTGTTTACTTGTCTGTCTGTTTCTTTATCTTTCACTGTATATTTTTGTCATTGTCTTTCCTTGTCTGTTTCTGTGTGTGTGTGTGTGTGTGTGTGTGTGTGTGTGTGTGTGTGTGTGTGTCTCCAGCTCACCTTAACCTTGGGGTCCCTGGTGGCGGGTGGTGGGTTCCAGTCTCTGGCCGCCAGCAGGTCAGGGTTACTCTTACTCCTAGTGTACCTGTCCCCTCGGCCGATGGGTGACGCCCCTCCTTCTCTTCCTCTTCCTCCTCCTCCTCCTCCTCCTCCTCCCCCTCCTCCTCCTCCGCCTCCGCCACCGTCATCGCTCGAGTCGTAGCCACTGCTGCCGTCGCGTCCTGCCAGAGTTGGAGGGAAAACCCGAGGTAGTCCGAACTTGAGGTAGGTAAACATGTTTGATCCCAACTCGCTCTTGGGGCCATACCTGCAACACAGAGAGAGTGTATGTGTGTTAGTTGCTCATTACGGGGACCTGTACCAGCAGGCAATACACAGAAGAGAGTGAGTCTCAGCTGCATGTTAAGAGGATCTTTACCTGCAATATAAAAAAGTTTTCGTGTCAGCAGTTTATTAATAGGACCTGCACCTGCGATGCACAGAAAGAATGCGTTCGTGTCAGGTGGTTGTAGCGGCTGTACTGTACCTGCAGAACAAAAGATCCGTACAACCTTTTCAAGGTTATCAGGATTCCTGGTGTTATGTTTTCAACTTGAACATTCACAGTTGACGACACAAGGAAAATAAGCGATTATCATTGATTTGTTTTGTGCTTACGACTCAAGAGGTTAGACCTGGAGGAACCATCAAGGATGTGTGGGAGCTGTGCCTTAAGTAAACTGTCTCCCCCCATGCAGCCAGAACTTGACTCCTTCACCTAAATATATTTTCCTGAAATTTTCTTCTTCCGTAGACAGCTGAAGGTGGCAGCAAGTGAGTCCTCCTGCCAGATGAAGTATTTTGTACACTCCCACGACGCTGAGTCGATTTCCCACTGTCTCACCTGTGTCGCACTCCCAAAGATCCCGTTTCACTTGTCGTTTACTTCGTCAGATGCTGAGACAGGAGGGAGGGGGGGGGGAGGCATTGAATTTTGAGATTGAGATAATATTTTCTTTCTCTGCGTTTGTGAGGGCAGGAGGCAGGCTGTGACCCGCCAGTGAACGATGCGAGTAAAATGGTGTCGGGTCAATCACACGATTCACTCAAACAATGTTTTCTTGGTGTACAACATAACGTGACCTGACACCGCACATTGATCCTGACCGACGAGTGTCTTCTGTTGTCACGCCAGAATTTATCTATGTGTACTCGTATCTATAGTATTAATTGATAACTAAAATGAAATAACACCTAAAAGGCGCTAGAACTCCAAGACTGGCTTATTATTGCGAAAGAATCTCCCAAGTTATTAGCAAGAATGAAAACTATGGGTCATACACTGATATAGTTTCAGTATCATTATATTTACCGCAAAAAACAACAAAGTGACGCGTAATGTGTGAAGACCTAGGCCAGGCAGGTACAGCGGTTAGCTCCTTATTAGCTTAAAATACAAACCTTCAGCATACAATAGGTATTTCATCCTCCAGCAACATGACAGAAAGCGAGAAGGGAAACATATGTTGGCTCAGTCCTGCCACTAAACCTTGCCTGTTATAAAGAAAACGTCCAGGGGTGAGAAGTCGAACCCAGCAGCTGGTTTTCAGAGGTTCACACGTTAAGCAATTATCTAAAAAGAGCCTTAGATACGCTTCTAATTGACTCACTTAAGCAAGAACACAAACTTGGAGATTAAGAAAGCTGATCGAAATTGCACTGGTCCTCCCTCACCACCAGAGGCATCCTCCACTTATCCAAAACAAATGAGGAATGAAACGCACAAAATCTCTGGGAACTGAACTCAGGCGAATAAGTGAAGATTGCTATCACGGTCTTGGGTGTAACGGGGGAGGAGGAGGAGGAGGAGGAACAGCGGGCCAGGTGATGCTCCACGCTGGCCCTCTGATAAGTGGTTTGCTTAACGTTCTCTACCTCGTACTTGGGACCCTCTTCTTCCTCCCCCTCCTCTCCCTCCTCCCCTCCTCCTCCTCCCCCTCCCCTCCCTTCCTCCTCTTCCTCCTCTTCCTCCTCCCAAATTACTACCCCGCTAATATTAAATCCGCCTTCTGTAGATGTTATAAGTCTCTCCCTATTATCATCCACCAAATATTCAGATTCACAGTTACAAGAGCAGTTACAGGTACAGGTACAAACATTTCATTATAATACACCAGTAATTCTCAGGATCGGTACAGGAGTTACGTCAATAGTTAGTTGTTACGTCATATCATCTTGTGTGAAAGGACTGGTAAGTTGATGTTCACTCGTTATTGAAAAATGTAAATCACCTTTAAATTTTTGGTTATATGAAAACAGAATATGAATAAAAGCAAAAACTAAGATGAAAAAAATATAAATGAATTATGAATGAATTAAACTAAGATCAAAGATACATAAAGAAATAATACAAGGATGAAAACAAATAAATAATTAAATTGACCTGAAAAAAAATTGAAAAAATACCACAAAAGATGAAAAAAAAAATAATACCAAGAAGAAGAAATATATGTAAATAATACGATTGTAAAAAAAAAAAAATACACGAATGATAAGAAAATAAAAATAGCAACAGTGGCACAACACACAAGACCACCTCACAAGATGTCTCCCTCAGGCAACACAGGCAGTAATACTCAGGCAACACAGGCAGTAATACTCAGGCAACACAGGCAGTAATACTCAGGCAACACAGGCAGTAACACTCAGGCGATACAGGCAGTAATACTCAGGCAACACAGGCAGTAATACTCAGGCAACACAGGCAGTAATACTCAGGCAACACAGGCAGTAATACTCAGGCAACACAGGCAGTAATACTCAGGCGACACAGGCAGCAATACTCAGACAACACAGGCAGTAATACACAGGCAACACAGGCAGTATTCCACCATTATACAATCAACATGCCGTAGAGATAAGAATTTTCCTCCTGCTTTATTCTTACGACGATCTACCGGTGTACAAGGCGTCAACTTTTGCCTCAGTCCGGGAAAATAACGTAAATAATTTGGTGTTGGTGGAATTCCTGAACCACGAGATGACGGGATGTAACCTTTTGGCGACGATGGTTTAAGCTAAGAGTATAGCCTTTTGGCGACGATGGCTTAAGCTTCGAGTATAGCCTTTTAGCGACGATGGTTTAAGCTTCCAGAATAGCCTTTTAACGACGATGGCTTAAGCTTCGAGTATAGCCTTTTAGCGACGATGGCTTAAGCTTCGAGTATAGCCTTTTGGCAACGATGGCTAAGCTTCCAGAATAGCCTTTTGACGACGATGGCTTAAGCTTCGAGTATAGCCTTTTGACGACGATGGCTTAAGCTTCGAGTATAGCCTTTTGGCGACGATGGCTTAAGCTTCGAGTATAGACTTTTGGCGACGATGGTTTAAGCTTCGAGTATAGCCTTTTGGCGACGATGGCTTAAGCTTCGAGTATAGCCTTTTGGCGACGATGGCTTAAGCTTCGAGTATAGCCTTTTGGCGACGATGGCTTAAGCTTCGAGTATAGCCTTTTGGCGACGATGGCTTAAGCTTCGAGTATAGCCTTTTGACGACGATGGCTTAAGCTTCGAGTATAACCCTTTGAGGACGACGGTTTTAGCTTCGTGTACAACGCTTGGAGGAAGATGTTTTAACAGAGGAAGCAACATTATGTATACTGTACGTCCTAATCACGACAGCAGGGTCGAGTAGAGCGTGTGTACTGTACCTAACGACGACTGGTAAACGGGTAAAGCAACAGTTGACGTGGTTGATGTATACACTCTATAGCTGTAGTGTTTTGGAGCCCATGGTCAGAGCTTTTAATCATTAGATACTTAAATCAGTTGGAAAATATAGCAGTGAGTGTGGGTTGGCTTTTCCCTCGGGAGTCGTCTGATCGTTACTGCATCATTATTATTATTATTATTATTGTTATTAGTGTTGTTGTTGTTGATGCTGTTTTTATTATTGTTTCTTCTACTATTATTTCCATCATTTATTTATTATCAATATTATTACTATTACTCATTATAACTATATTACCATTAAGCACCCGAGGCCTGATTATGAAGTAGCTTAAAGACGAGGAGACAGGCAGGGGTGTGGGTATAGGTGTGGGTGTAGGTGTGGGTGTAGGTGTAGTTGTAGGTGTGGGTGTAGGTGTAGGTTGTGGGTGTATTGTAGGTGTAGGTTGTGGGTGTATTGTAGGTGTAGGTTGTGGGTGTAGGTGTAGGTTGTGGGTGTAGGTGTAGGTTGTAGGTGTATTGTAGGTTGTGGGTGTAGTTGTAGGTTGTGGGTGTAGGTGTAGGTGTAGGTGTGGGTGTAGGTGTGTGTATAGGTTATGGGTGTAGGTGTAGGTTGTAGGTGTATTGTAGGTTGTGGGTGTAGTTGTAGGTGTGGGTATGGGTGAAGGTTGTGGGTGTGGTTGTAGGTTGTGGGTGTAGGTGTGGGTGTGGGTGTAGGTGTGTGTATAGGTTATGGGTGTAGTTGTGGGTGTAGGTTGTAGGTGTATTGTTGTAGGTTGTGGGTGTAGTTGTAGGTGTGGGTGTGGTTGTGGGTGTAGTTGTAGGTTGTGGGTGTAGTTGAGTGTGTAGGCTGTGGGTTGTAGGTTGTGTGTGTGTAGGTTGTGTGGGTGTAGTTGTAGGTGCAGGTTGTGGGTGTGGTGGGTAGCAGGTATGTTGTGGGTGGGTGTAGGTGTGTGTGTAGGCTGGGGTGTGTTTATTGTGGGTGTAGTTGTAGCTGTGAGTGTAGGGGTGGGTTGTGGGGTAGGTGTAGGTTGTGGGTGTAGGTGTGGTGTGGGTGTAGTTGTAGGTGTGGGTGTGGGTGTGGGTGTGGTGTGGGTATAGGTGTAGTGTAGGTGTGGATGTGTAGGTGTTGTTATAGGTGTGGGTGTGGGTATAGATGTGGGTGTGGGTACAGGTGTGGGTATATTGGGTGTGGGGTGTAGGTATGCAGGTGTGGGTACAGGTGGGTGTGGGTGTGTAGGTGTGGGTGTGGGTGTGGGTGTGGGTAAGTGTAGGTGTGGGTGTAGGTGTAGGTGGGGTGTGGGTACAGGTGTGGGTACAGGTGTGGGTATAGGTGTGGGTGTAAGTGTGGGTGTGGGTGTGGGTGTGGGTGTGGGTGCAGGTGTGGGTACAGGTGTGGGGTATATGTGTGGGTGTGGGTGTGGGTGTGGG